GAGGTCGGGATGGGATGGGAGTTGGGATAGAGGAGGAGGGAGGAGGAGTCTAGGCATGGGATGAGAGGTCAGGACGGGGAGGTGAGGGAGATGTTGGGATTAAGTCGGGAGGTCGGGATGGGAGACGCGAACAGAGGAGGGAGAGGTCGGGATCAGAGAGGGAGAGGGGGAGAGGTCGGGACGGGGAGGTCGGGATGCGAGGTCTGGACAGGGAGGTGAGAGAGAGGTCGAGATAAAGTCGGGAGGTGACGCGCGACAATGTCGGGATTGGGGGAGCAAGGGGAAAGAGGGAGACGAGGTCGGGATGGGATGGGAGTCGGGATAGAGGTCGGGAAAGGTCGGGATGGGAGGTCGGGATGGGGAGGTGAGAGAGAGGTCGGAATCAAGTCGGGAGGTGACGCGCGACGATGTCGGGATCGGGGGAGCAAGGGGAGAGAGGGAGAGGTTGGGACGATGTCGGGGGAAGGAAGGAGAGGGGAAGAGAGGTCGACATGGGAAGGAAGGGAAGGTGGGGAGGGCGGGATGAGGTCGGGATGGCATGGGAGTCGGGACAGAGGAGGAGGGAGGAGCAGTCTAGGCATGGGATGAGAGGTCAGGACGAGGAGGTGAGAGAAATGTCGGGATTAAGTCGGGAGGTCGGGACCGGGAGGTCGGGACCGGGAGGTCGGGATGGGAGACGCGAACAGAGGAGGGAGAGGTCGGGATCAAGAAGGGAGAGGGGGAGAGGTCGGGACGGGGAGGTCGGGATGCGGAGGTGAGAGAGAGGTCGGGATCAAGTCGGGAGGTGACGCGCGACGATGTCGGGATCGGGGGAGCAAGGGGAGAGAGGCAGAGGTCAGGACGGGGAGGTCGGGATGGGAGGTCGGGACAAGGTCGGGATGAGGGAGGGAGAGTTGGGACGATGTCGGGGGAAGGAAGGAGAGGGGGAGAGAGGTCGAGACAGGAAGGAAGGCAAGGTGGGAGAGGGGGAAGAGGTCGGGATGACGTCGGGATAGGATGGGAGTCGGGATAGAGGAGGAGGGAGGGTGTCGGGATTAAGTTGGGAGGTCGGGATCGGGAGGTCGGGATGGGAGACGCTAACAGAGGAGGGAGAGGTCGGGATCAGGGAGGGAGAGAGGTCGGGATGAGGTCGGGATGGGATGGGAGTCGGGATAGAGGAGGACGGAGGAGTAGTCTAGGCATGGGAGACGGCTCGGGACGGTGTCGGGATAGGGAAGGGGGACTAGGAGCTCGGAGAAAGAAAGGGGGAAGGGAGAGTTCCGACGACGTCGGGGGAAGGAAGGAGAGGGAGGGAAAGTCCGGATCAGGTTGGGAGGTCGGGATGGGAGACGGGTTGGGACGGGGAAGGAAAGGGAGGAGGTTGCGATCGGAGACGCGAACAGAGGAGGGGGAGGTCGGGATCAGGGAGGGAGAGTGGGGGGAGAGGAAACGTCGTGTTGGGATGATATGGGGGGAAGGAAAAAGAGGGGAGGAGAGGTCGGAACAGCAAGGAGAGGGAGGTTTGGAGGTCGGGATGGGAGATGGGTGTGTTTTTTTTTTTTTTCTGTCGGCCAACGTCGGGGAAGGAAGGGGAGAGGGAAAGAGGTCGGGATGGGGAGGTCGGGATGGCAGACGGGAACAGAGGAGGGAGAGGTCGGGAGAGGTCGGGACAGCAAGGAAGGG